TTGGGTCTCCTATCAAAGTTTCCCCTATGTTTGCCCTTCTCAGCAGGCGTCACATAAGGTCCGCTTCGTACTTACTGCTTCCCTCTCCTCTCGCTCAAACCCTTATAATGAGTAGAACGAGCTCTACTGTCTTCTTCATAAATCCTACAGCACTCGGTCAAATCCGAAAATCTTCGTATTCTTTGATAACCCACTGCTTGCTTTATCTCAGGACGCAAGCCATTCTCATACTTGATACATTTGGAAAATTCCGCCGTAACCGCATCATAGTGAGGGTGAAACTTCACTAACTCAGTAAACTTAGCGGTGTAGTCCACCACCGACATATTACCTTGTTTCAACTCCAGAAATTCCATTTCTCTCTTCCCTTTAACACTTTCGGGATAATACTTCCTTAGAAACTCAGTACGAAATAAATCCCACGTAATTTCCTCATCGTCGACCTCAAGAACTTGCCTCACGCTGACCCACCAGTCATCAGCCTCTTCTCTCAGCATGTGAGTCCCTAGTCTCACCTTGCTCCCTTCAGCACAATCCATCACCCTAAAGATCCTCTCAATTTCCTTTAACCATATCTGAGCACCATCCGGATCAAATCTCCCTTTGAACACCGGTGGTTGGTTCTTCCTGAACTCATCATTCGCATTCACGTTAGGTGCACCCTGCACAGCTCTGGCCATAGCCTCTAACGCCGCTGCCATAGCATTGTCATTACGTCCTGCCATATTCTGAGGATTCCCAAAAATAACAACAAGGTTAAACAACCGTTCAACCAACACAACAACAAGGCAGACACGACTGACTCAATACTGGCTCTGATACCACTTAATGTAACACCCCCTTTCTATACCCCCAAATTAATCAAATAAATCAATTAAGCACTTAGAAAATTTATTTCATCAGAGTTAAATTAAAACATGGTATATAAGAGGCGCATCACATTATCATGAAATTAAACACATACGATACCTGCTCAAAATAGATATGCAACAATGGGTAACCCACATCTCAATATTTAGAATAAAAGCGGAAACATCCAAATATTGAATCGATCACATACATAAAAGTATATACAACCACTCAATCAAATCATGCTATACAACCATATCCACAGCGGATACATACACAGATGTATCACAAGGAATCAAAACAAATGTAACTCCAAAAGAGTCAAAGGCTTCCTAACTACCCAGATGTTACATATCAGAGCCATTGACCAAAAAGAATGAAGACATTGCTTCACAAAAAGAACCTCCAGCTTCCTACTCTGCAACGCCTCATAGAGCATTATAAAACAGCAGAAGGGTGAGAAACAATATCATAACAGTTAATGCATAAAATTGTATATATACATATACTCATATTTGTACAAGTTATACTCAAATTATGTTCTCACCACATTAAGCATATACAATTAATCATGCCTCTACACATGCTCATGAACATTCACTATATGTTCCTCCAAACAATCATATATAACATACACAGTTACATTCATACAACTAATGCATCATACACAGATGACTCATGCAACTCATAGAGACCGACACACGACTCTATGCAGATGCAAATGCGGTACCGACTCATTTCAACAATTCTCTAAGGAATCGAGTATTCAATAGATTCTCCACGGAATCAAGTATTCAGCAGATTCTCCACGGAATCAATATTCATCAGATTCTCCACGGAATCGAATATTCAGCAAATTCTCCACGGAATCAAATACTCAGCAGATTCTCCACGGAATCAAATACTCTAGTCAATCCTCCAAGGGATTACATGTTATGACCGATTCTCCGAGGAATCACACAATGCAACCGATTCTCCAAGGAATCTAATGTAACCATCGTATCATACGAGGTTCTGCAAATCCTCCGAGGGATCATTCAACACAAAAATGCATACTATGTTCACAAACATACTCATTGCATTTATCACATACATCGCATATATCTATCATGCAATCACATTATGCACCATTTCACACACGGTTTACACACATATCAGCCTATCAATGCGTTTCTATTCAATTCAAGCAAATACACAAGATTATCAAACGTTCAAGATTCACCATTGGCTCTACAATCTAGGATTCACGCCTTTCGGCCACCCACAGCACGACATGTCGAAACAGTTCACACATCAATCATTCATATAGGCATTAACCATAATTGAATCGGCCAAAAATCATGCTATGAACAATCAGCAAAACAAATAACACTGCCAGGTTTGCCAACCTTCGCCTGGCGAAGCCACGCAGCGAATGCTCGTTGGCCTTCGCCTGGCGAACTTCCCAGCGAAGTCCACTGGGAGTAATTCTGGAATTACTCGCTGAGGCTCGCTACACACTCGCCTGGCGAACCTTCGCCAACTAACCTCTCCTGGCGAACTTGCCAGCGAATACAGGGTGTTAGCTTCTGACTTGCTTCGCTACAGCTCGCTGGACTTCGCCTGGCGAAGCTTCGCTGCCATTCGCCTGGCGAGCCTGCGAAGACAGAACTTCCATGGCTGTCTCAAGAGCCCAAACTCCACAAAATCAACCGATTAAATCCAAACCAGTCTCAGTGGCATAACCCAACCATCACCCGACTAAACTACATCGTCTAATCCGAGTTCTAACCGATTAAAACCTCATTCTACTCACAAAACCAACTTCTAACCTAAGTGGAAAAAGAGTAGAAACTCTACAAAATCCAAACACATACACATACAATCATATACATTAAAGAGATGATGGAGTTTCACACCCTTACCGATCGATTGCAAGCTTTGGTGATGATCCCTTGATGATTCTAGGTTTTCCTCTCCACTTTCTCTTCTCTTTCTCTTCTCCTCTTTTCTTTCTCTTGTTTTTCTTCTTATGTTACTATCTTTCTTTCTTTCCTCTCTTATTCTATTTCTATCTCTATTTCTTTCCTCTCAAATTCTTTCCAACACTTACCAATCAATTCTCACACTAAATTGCTAAATGTCTAAAATGCCCTTTTTACTCTAATTCCCCGAAAACTCTCCGAATCGGTAAAAATAGATAAAATAAGCAAACACCACATAATAATATATAATTTCTCAATTTAAAACAAACATCAATTAAATAAATTAAAAGACTCAACAATTAATGGGAATTCAGAATCGGGGCGTTACAGTAATCAAATAAAATGTTTGGATTAAAAACGTAAGAACAGAGATGCAAATTCATACATGTTTCCTCATAACCTTTTTTTCTCTATATGATTTGGATACTCGAGTTCTATAGAGAATATTGATAACATTTGTGAATCATTGTTACATGAATGAAATTTGCTTATATACTACATTTTCGTAACTGTCAATAACAGTTTACTCTTCATCACTCGACATGTACACCATTACGTTACCTTCTACCCTCTACTTTACTTCCACATGTGGGTCTTTGAAACTGCCTTTCACCTGCTACTAATGTCGACAACTGCTCTCATATCTATTAATTGCTTTGTCTAAAAACATATTTAAGTCTTCTAATTGCTCCCTTCGAGGAGCTTTCTCTGCCAAATCTTATAGCATGGTGTCGAAACATGATTTGAACTGCTTGTATTTTTATTTATGTATTTATTCCATTGCCCTCATTTTTGTCGAATGTGTCAAATTGCTACAAACTTTTTCGAGAGATTCTGGACATATTTTGAAGAGAGTGATTCTAATCTTGTGGATCTGTTCTTGAGATTCTAGACATGTTTTAAAGAGAGAGTGATCCTAATCTTGTGGGTCTCCAAATTGTCCAATGCTCTAGTCAAGAATAAGCTAAGTTCCAAAAATACTTTGTAGGCGAGTCGAACTCACCACCTTAGTCGAACTAATTCACATGTCAAATATTGTAGCTAAGTAAATTTATATTTAACAATCTCATACATTTGTATCACACTTTCATATAAAAAAAATGCTAGACTAAAATTCTCAGACTAATAGGAGCCTGTCCAATAATAACCTCCAATAAAATATCTTGATGTTAGAAGGAATCTTTACTTTCCACAAGCAATTAAGGACCTTGTAGTTTTGTCTGTCACCATACTTTTTTCTTCATCTACCTGCATAAGCTTTCTATAACATAACAGGACTGGACGATAAATTATTTACCTTTGTAACCTGTCCAGACTACATTACTTAGTGTTACCTTCTGAAGAATAGCCAACAGGTTATCATAGAATTTTTTGTGTGCATATCAATAAAATCTAACTCACAATCTTTAAACTTGATAGCTCACTCCCATATATCTTATCTCCAATTCCCCATGTTCGCCACACTAGCATTTGAATATAAGAAAAGTGCAAAACATTTTGAATACTAAAAAAGTATTTGTTAGACATTCAATTAACTATGAATAAAAATGTGATTAACTCAATTGAACAGATAATTAATTCAACCCAATGAATTAAAATTATAATTAATTCATATAAATTAATCATATTTTACAATATAAATTGAATTGACTATCTAATCATATGAATCAACCATAACTACCTAATCATATCTAATGATATGAATTAACCATATTTTTACAATCTAATCGTATGAATCAACCATAACTGCCTAATCATATCTAATCATATGAATTAACCATATTTTTACAAATAATAAAAAATTACTCCTATGAAGAAAAAAAATTGGTGGATGATTTGACATTCAAACACAGAAACGGACGAAAATGAAAGAAAGGACAGAAAGAAGATTGGAACTTATCCACAATGCCACCAACATTATAATTTTCTTTTTTCATTTTTTAAACTACAAGAATAAAAATAAAAACTTCACAGACAACCCTTTATAAAAGCAAGACAAAGGCGTGTCTTTGTGGAACCACCATTAACACCAACGTAAGAGAAAGAAGAACAAGGAAAAAAACCATCGACAATCTAAACTCACAGATAGTATATATTAGAGTGAGCGATCAAATAAAGTATAGAATAAAGAGAAGGTGAGAAAGTTGCACTCATAATAAGCATTGAATTCTATATTCCCAAACCAACATGGCAAACAATTACTTTGCAAAAAGAAACCAACTCTTTCTTTCCGTTTCAACTGACAGAGACTCTTCTCTATCATTCACAACGGATTCAGATTCCATGTTTGAATTCCAAGAATCAGACATTTACAGTTCCAATCATGATAACTCGGTGGAGTTTGGAAAATCTTTCCATGGTTCTCGCTCCGTCAAGAAACCGTCTTCATCAAAGACAAAGGACGCTAGAGGAACTCCAGCGTCCGTGCCGGTTAACGTCCCCGATTGGTCGAAGATCCTCGGGGACGAATACAGAAATAGTTACGCGAAGAGAAGTGGCGTGGAAGAAGAGGAAGAAGAGGAGGATGAGAATGGGTGGTTACCACCGCATGAGTTTTTGGCTCGGAAGAGAGCGGCTTCTCTGTCAGTACAGGAGGGTGTTGGAAGGACTCTTAAGGGAAGAGATCTCAGCAGGCTAAGAAATGCAATTTGGGCAAAAACTGGCTTCCAATAATTTTACTGTTTTTTTGTTTGTTTTGTTTTGTTTTGTTCTACTCTATTACATACATGTGTTTTTTGTTTTGATTTTGGTAAGTGTAACTTCTCATGATTTGGTGAAAAATATCTCTAGGTTTTGTAGGGTAAAATACTGTGTATGAGATTGTTATGTATGATGAGATTTCAGTTATTAAATCGAAACTGGTGTTTGTATTATTATAATTTCCACCAGGATTTCTTCAACATTATGAGTATTTTCTTTTTCTTTTCATCACCAATATTCGGCCAAATGTATCAATTAATCTGATTGGAGGGTTAATTATGAATAGCCATGATCAGACAGTCCAAAATTATTTATTTTAAATTAGAATGGCCTGATCCTGATTGAATATGTTTGAATACGGATATTTTTTTGACTAGAGCATATCTGAATCTGGAGAGGGAATGGGTGAGGTCATTATTGGAGAAGAGATGGAAAGTTGGCTCACTTGCTCAATGATTGGCACACGTCGCATGGCGGTGGGGTGTCGATGAAATTTGGAGTTTGACAGTTTAGTTTTAATATAATTGCCGGTGGCCACATGCTGGTCATTCTCGACCACAAACACCTCTTAAAATATCCAATGATCGTCCAATGAGATGATAATACCTAGACATCTTGATAGTGATTTTTTTATTAAAAATGATTTTGTTTAATTTGTATCTATGAGAGTACTATAAAAGACCATGCAAATAGATATTTAATGTTAACCCTGTCGTTACATGTTAAGTACCAACCAATTTGCATTACTCTATTGCGATGATATTCTTTGAATTTTTATTTTTTTTACGATTTGTAGCATACACTCAAATATTGTTTTATACACTCAAATATTGCTTTTTTATCGGACTGATAATTCGAATCAATTTGAAAATAGTTTGAAACTCAGTTCAATAATTATTTCGTTGAACTTGGTCCATGAATCTAATGAGCTGAATATGAACAAAAAATTAAGTTCATTAACTAAATGAGTTAAACTTAAACGATACATAGTTTAACTCGCGAAGTTAATGAACCAACTTGATTATATATGAGAAGGATTATACTGTCTTTAAGAGTGGGTTTAAAGATTTAATATAAATTTTAACAGTATATTTTATTTTAATCTAACGGTGTTATTTGATAATTTATATTTTCAAGTGAGCAAAATATTTCTAAAAATAATTATACAAATAAAATTAGAATCATATAAATTAATAAATTTTTGAATTAGTATATTTTTTAGACAAATTTAAATTTTAATCTAATAACTTTTATTTTATTTTAATACTTTCTTTTTAAAATAATATTAATGGAAAATGTCAAATATATAAATAAAAAATAGACTTTACAAAAATGACTTTTAAATCTGTGAAACAAGCGAGTTGAACCTAACGAGTCGAACCGAGTTGCTAGTGAACTTATAACGAGTCGAGTTTGAGCTTAAATAAAAGTTCGTATCAAACTCGAACCGAGATTTGAGCTGAACCAATTCTTAACGAGTCGAGCTGAGCTGAGGCGAGTTCAACTCGACTCGGCTCATTTCCAACCCTACTTTCTCATTCCCATTTTAGTGTAAAACTAAAATTATTCTTAAAATTCAGAAGTACATTGTCGAAATACATTGTCATCGCCATACGTTCCATAATCTTTAAAACAATTTTGATAGTTCTTATAAATTTTGCATTCAGCTCAATTGAACTTTTTGTTTTGTAAAGGTGAAATGTACTTTACATAATTTTTAAATTTTCATTCGTCTTTACTTTAAATTTGCTATACTGAATTTTTCTTGTGAGATATTGAATCGAACTCTAATTAGCATGTTGTCGAAGTTTGCTTACATGCTGTTATCAAAGACCTATATGCTGTAGTCGAATTGTGTTCTAATATGTAGTTGTCGAATTGAACCTTGTGTTAAGGATCTAATTGTTTAAGTTAGCTTATACACTAAGTTAGCTTGTAATTGATAATTGCTAAAAAGCCTATTAGTTTAGTAAGTTAGGTTTTATTATAAATAGCATACTAGTCTCTCATCTTAAGTGTGGTGTGACAAAACCTAATTAAGGTGAGAGAGTTATTTGTTATTCTTGAGTACTTGTAATTTACTTTATAGAGAAAGTAAATAATGACAGTTATAACCAACCCTTGTTGTTCTCCTTGTTTTTCCTTAACCCTAACCCTTGTGTGTTTCTTAATCATAAAGAAACCGTGTATATTTTATTTTAAGGCATTCTAATTCACAACAAATTGGTGCGGTGAGCATGAAGGAAGATGCCTTCAACAAAGTATGAGATTGAAAAGTTCACCGGAGTGAACGACTTCGGTTTGTGGCGCTTAAAGATGAAAGTCTTACTGGTTCAACAGGGTTGTTTGGAAGCGTTGAAGGGAGATGTAGTCATGGACGTTGCGTTAATGGGAAAAGAAAAGACGGTCATGATAGAGAAAGCCCACAATGCAATATTGTTGAGCCTTGGTGATAAGGTTCTCCGACAGGTATCAAAGGAGACTACGACATCGGGGTTATGGTTGAAACTTGAAAGTTTGTACATGACCAAATCTTTGGTGAGTCGACTCTACTTGAAGCAATATTTGTATTCATTCAAGATGAGTGAAGACAAAGTGTTGGCTGAGCAGTTGGATATGTTCAACAAGCTGATTCTTGATCTTGAAAATATTGATGTCAAGATCGATGGTGAAGATCAAGCACTATTGTTGCTGTTGTGTGCTTTGTCTAGAACACCTGCTCACTTCAAAGAAACTCTCTTGTATGGAAGAGAGTCCCTAAGCTTTGAAGAAATTCAATTAGCCTTGTATTCTAAGGACTTGAACGAACGAAAGGAGCATAAACCTTCAACGATTGGTGAAGGTTTGGTCGTTAAGGGAAAATTCTTGCGAAAGGATGGTAAGTTCGACAAGAAGAAAGGTAAAAGTCAGTAGAAGTCTTATAGTGGCGAGGCATCTGGTATTCGATGTTATCACTATAAGAAGGAAGGTGACACCAGAAAAGTGTGACCTGAACGCCTGAAAGATCATGTAGGTAAAGATGATGGCAACTCAACCATTGTTCAACATGACTTTGAATCATCTGATGTTCTTGTGGTTTCAAGCGACGACTCAAGAAAAGAGTGGATTATGGATTCAGGTTGCACTTGGCATATGACTCTAAACAGAGAATCGTTCAAGGAGCTATGTGATCAAGATGCTGGATCAGTGTTGCTGGGAAACAACAAATTTTGCAAAATTGCAGGTATTGGATCTGTGATATTCAAGCTCCATGATGACTCAATAAGGTTATTGACTGAAGTCAGGTATGTACCTGATTTGTAGAGATATTTGATTTCTCTTGGTGAATTTGACAGGAAGGGATATGTTTTTCAAGGAGAGAAAAGTATCCCGAGAGTTATGAAGGGGTCGAAGGAAGTCTTGAGAGGCGTGAAAAAATAAGGTTTGTATACCCTTGAGGCTGAAGTTGTAAGTGGTTTGACAAATGTTGCATCCATGAAACCATTGTCGAAAACAAAATTTTGGCACATGAGATTGGGCCATGTCAGTGAAAGGGTGGGCCATGTCAGTGAAAGGGGTCTGGTCGAATTAGGAAAACAAAATCTGCTTGGAGGAGACAAAGTCGAAAAGCTGAAATTTTGTGAACCCTGTTTATTTGGAAAATCTTGCAGAGTGAAGTTCAACAAAGGCAAACAAAGAACTCATGGATCCCTTGATTACATCCATGTTGATCTTTGGGGGCCTGTTAGGTGTCCATCACATTCAGAAGCAAGGTATTTTCTATCCATAATTGATGATTATTCCAAGAAGTTATGGGTATTCATCTAGAAGGCTAAGGATGAAACTTTTGAGAATTTCAAAGGTTAGAAGACTTTGATCGAAAATCAGTCTGGCAGAAAGGTCAAGAGGTTGAGAACCGACAATGGCCTTGAATTTTGTAATGAGGCGTTCGATAGTTTTTGTGTTGCCTCAGGTATTGCAAGGCACAAAACTACAGCAGGTACTCCATAACAAAATGGTTTGGCAGAAAGGTTTAATCAAACTATTTTCGAAAGAGTTAGATGCATGTTGACTAGTGCTAGATTAAAGAAGGTGTTTAGGATGAGGCTATTTCGACAATAACATATTTGATAAACAAATGTCCTTCGACTGTGTTAGATATGAAGACACCTAAAAAAGTTTGGTTGGGACATCCATCTAATCTCGACAGACCAAGAGTATTTGGCTACATGGTTTATGCTCACATTAGGCAAGACAAGGTCGAACCTAGAACTCTGAAATACATGTTCATAGATACCTTGAAAGAGTCAAAGCTTATAGGCTATGATGCCTAGAGCCAGGTTACATGAGGTGTATCATCAGTCGAGATATAATTTTCAATGAAGCTGAGATGGCTTTCAAAAAAGCTGATGATGTTGACGAAGAGCTGGAACAAGGAGAGATTACTGTTGAGGTGGAACATGTTGATGTTAAATTACGTACTCCAGATGAAGTCGAAGAAGAAGCAGAAGCTGTTGTCGAAGATGAGAAGACTGATAATGACTACCTGCTAGAAAGATACAAGTCGAGGAGAGTCATCAAGCCACCTCAGAGACTAAGGTATGAAGATCTTATAACTTATGCCTGAATCTCTGCAAGTGAGGTTCTCGACGAAGAACCTATAGACTATAAGGAAGTTATGAGGAGTCAAAAGAAGACTGAATGGCTGAAGACCATGGATGATGAGATGAAATCTCTTCATGATAAAAACACCTGGGAACTTATCAAGAAACCTGCTAGAGCCAGGATAGTCAATTGTAAATGAATTTTCAAGGTTAAGGAAGGAATCAAAGGAGTATCGTTGAAAAGATACAAGGCAAGATTGGTCGCTATGGGTTTCACTCAGAAAGAAGGTGTCGACTTCAATGATGTGTTCTCCTCTGTTGTGAAGCACAAATCCATTCGTTGCTTGCCACGGTGGCACAGTTTGACCTTGAACTGGAACAGATGGATGT